GCCCTGACTGGGAATTGAACCACGGTTGTTTTGTTCTCAGGCCAGCGCTCAATCCACTGAGCTACACCAGCCAGGGCTAAAAACATGTTTTTAATTCTTTTATTTACGTTTATGCCTTAAAAGTGTAACTTGAAAAAGCAATAATGATATCCATATGCAAAATAATATGCTGGAATATGATCGTTAGTTTTGTTTCTAAATATAAATAAATAAGTAATTGAATCAAAATATTAAAGCCAAAATTTTTTTCCTGAAAGTTTGGGCCAAAAATGTGGGTGCGCATTATACACGGCAACATACGGTAGTAGTTCTTGGCCAAAACAAAGATAGACGTAGTCATGGCAAACACAAAAAACGAAAACACTTCTGGTAACCCCAGTATTACTATGAAGTTCCAACAGCCTCTGGAATGAGCCAGGAGGAAGGAGCTCCTTGCCCAGCCCCCACTTGGGCCCTTTAAACCACAGTCTGAGTCTGTCCCCTGCCCCATCCCCTTCCCCCCTCTGAGGTCTTCACCTGGGTCTACTACCAGAACCCGAGCGCCGGAGCTCAGCACCGAGTGCACCAGGGGCGCCCCGCGGATATGTGGGTTGATCCAAGCCACTGTGCAGCCCAGCTTGGCCAGTCCCAGCCACAGACCCAGAGCTGGAATGGACTGGGAGGGCAGCATCAGGAGAGCGGCAGATTCCCTGGTCCCCTGGCCCGCGACGTCGACCAGCTCCGCCTTCAGGGCCCACGCTACCCGACAGGCCTGGGTGTCCAGCTCCCCGTAGGTGACCGAGCGGCCCCCGTGTCCCGTCCATACCAAGGTCACGCGGCCCGGCTGTGTGTGCGCCCGCCGCTCAAAGGCATCCACAAAGGTTAAGGGGGGTTTGCGGCTCAAGCGCGCCCTGACGTTCAGGCCCAAACGAAGGATCCCGACGAAGTAGGCCACGTCAGCCGGCAGCCAGCGCAGCCCTGGGGGTGGCCGTGCGGGCAGCAGAGCCAGCACCAGGGCCACGGTAGCCAGGTTCAACCAGTGGGGCATCCAGGGAAGGAGCCATGGCCTTGCCAGTGCGGCCAGGACTACCAGCGAGCAGCAGGCGGGGTCCCCCAAGAGCCAGCGCAGGGCCAGGGCCACGGCTGCAGGCCACGCAGACCTCCCCAGGCTCAGCAGCAGGAGCAGCAACAGCGAAAGGTGCAGCCAACGACCCATTGCACCAGTTTGTACAGAGAAGTGCGGGCGAAATGCAGGAAGCTGCGGACCTCGACCTCTGGCCCTGGCTGTTCCACGCAGTTCTGGCAGCGGTGGTACCACCCCCAGGACTCTGCCGCCAGCCTCCTTTCCTTTTTGCTAAAGATTTTATTTATTTAGGAAGCTAGCAACAAAACAAACAAGCAAGCAAAATAAAAACAAAGACACTGAAATAGAGAACAGGGGGACAGTGACCAGAGGGGAGAGGGGACGGAATTTCAGGGGGAAAAGGGGAAGGATTTACAGGAACTAGTATGAAGGACACAGGGACGAGAACTAAGGGGGGTGGAAATGGGAGGGAGGTGGGGAGCAACGGGGGGGGCTGGGCTGGGAGTAAAAGACAAAATGGTACTTGAACAAGAATTAAATTTAAAATATTTTTTTATTTTTTAAGTGCTTATTTTCTTTTTTTTTAATTTAGTGGGTTTTTTTAAAGGTTTTATTTATTTATTTATCTTTAGAGCGGAAGAGAAGGAGAGAGGGAGAGAAACATCAATATACAGTTGCCTTTCGTGGGTCCCCTGCTGGGAACTGGCCCGCAGGGAACCAGCCTACAACCCTGGCATGTGCCCTGACCGGGAATCCAACCGCGACTGTCTGGTTCGCAGGCCCGCGCTCATTCCACTGAGCTACACCAGCCAGGGCTTACAATTTTTTTAAAAGATTTATTTATTTAAAACAGAGGGAAGGGAGAAAGAGGGAAACATCAATGTGCGGTTGCCTCTTGAACGCTCCCTACTGGGGACCTGACCTGGCCTGCACACCAGGCATGTGCCCTGGCCGGGAGGAAAGCAACCAGGGCAAACCAAACCTCTTTGGTTGGCAGGCCCATGCTTAATCCACTAAGCCACACCTGCCAGGGGCTTATTTTCTTTATTTGTTCATTTTATTTTATTTTTTAATCCTCACCCATAGAATTTTTTTTCATTGCTTTTTTTCCTTTTTTTAAGATTTTATATTTAGAGAAAGGGAAAGAGGGGAAAACATCAATGTGCAAGAGAAACATTTATCAGATGCCTCTCATTTGTTTACAGTGTCGGAAACCCAGGCCTGCACTCCTGCTGGGAACTGAACTTGTGACCTTTCAGTTGGCAGTACAATACCCAAACAACTGAGCCATTCAGGCTAGAGGTATTTTTATTGTTTTTACTTTTTAATCCTTGCCCAAGAATATGTTTATAGATTTTTTAAAAGGCTTTATTTATTTATCTTTAGAGGGGAAGGGAAGGAGAGAGGGAGAGAAATACCAGTGTATGGTTGCCTCTTGTGGGTCCCCTGCTGGGAACTGGCCTGCAACCCAGGCATGTGCCCTGACTGGGAATCGAACTGTGATCCTTTGGTTCGCTGGCCTGCGCTCCATCCACTGAGCTACACCAGCCAGGGCTGTTTACAGATCTTGAGAGAGTCAGCGGGCAGGGGGAGGGTGAGAGACAGAAACACCCATCAGTTGCCTTTCATACCCGCCCCAGCCAGAGATTGAACCACAACCTTTTGGTTGTATGGGACAGTGCTCCAAACAAGTCAGCCAACCAGGGCTCTTCTTTTTATTTCTCAATTACACTTGACATTCAATATTAGGTTAGTTCCAAGTGTACAGCACAGTGGTTGGATAACTTTGTATACCTTAGGAGGTGGTCCCCCCCACACACACCTAGTACTCACCTGGGAACATACAGATATTGCAATACTGACTATATTCCCTACGCTGTACTTTACATCCCCCTATTTTGTAACTGACCATTCTTACTTCTTAACCCCTTCACCTTTTCTCCCAGCCCCCAACTCTGCCCACAGCCCTTCTACCCCCACCTATTTGTTTAGCTCTGTCTGGTCCTGTTACCTCTCTGCATCTGTGGACACCCACTGTGGACCAGGCACTTGGGAAATGGGCCAGGGGCAGAGTCAACAGGACAGCAAGGGCAGTGGGCTGCAAGCGCAGTCTGCCCTCCTCATGCCTCACCTAGAGGTTCTCCAATGACACCCACTTATTTTTTTAAAAAGACTTACTTTATTTTTGGAGAGAGGGGAAGGGAGAGGGAAACATCAATGTGTGGTTGTCTCTCGTGCACCCCCTACTGGGGACCTGGCCCACAACCTGGGCATGTGCTCTGATTGGGAATCCAACTGGGGCGCCTTTGGTTCAGTGACACGCACTTAATCTGCAGGAATGTTGGAAACTGCTCTGCCTGATTTCAGGAGTTGTAACTGCCCCCTATGGCTAAGGCTGAGTAAGCAACCTCCAGAATATGAGCCAGTAAGGAAACAAAGCTTATCTCTGGCAGCAGGGTTGCTTCTGCTTCATCCCCTGCCCCCAGTGCTTGGTGGGTTAGTCTATGACTGGTACAACCCCTCAGAGGGGGGATAACCTAAGCCAGACACGATCACTTGGGAGGCCTTCAAGGAAGGACTCGGGGGAGCTTGGGCAAAAAGGGAGTGATAGACCCTCCTCCCCTAACTATTCTGACATAGCCCAAGTCCCCATTTCTGTCTGGGAGAAGCACTTCCTGGCTCTAATCCACTTAAGCCTAAAAACCTATGACAGGGAAGGCATAGCTTTGCCAGCTACAGCAGGTTCTGGGGTGATCAGGCATGAGTTCCTAAAGTCCTGTGAAGCCTGCTTTCCTAAGAGTGCTTTCATTCATATAAAGGTCAGAGTAGGAAATAAGCATGTCTCCCAAAGTTTTCGCAACCCCCTTATCTGACAGACACTGACTCAAATTAAGCCCTCAGATTTCTTTGAAATGTTCTGTTGTTTGATCCTTGCTGCTTGACATTGAGGAAGAGGTTCTTGGTCCTCCTGTGAGAGACTGACCACCTCTCCTCCCCAAGCAGATCGTGATTTGGTAGTTTCATTTTTATCCATGGTGGATGGGGGGACTTGCAGGCAAAGTTGCCCCCACACAGGGAGATTAGGCTTTGCTGGACTGAAACTCTAGCCAAGTGTACAGTAAGTACTGAAAGTAATATGTGCAGTGTTCAAATTCAAAACCAGTCTGACTCCCACTCATGTCCTGTGCTCTGTTGGACAGATGTACCTTGCCATCAGTGGGGACCATATGCATGGTGGGACCCCTCACCTCTAGTAGACGGTCACAGGGGGAGTTCAGAGAGGTGCTGCCAGTAGCCCAGGCGCTGGGGCACCCTCCGAGCCACACCGTCCCCTCAACCTGTCCCAAAGCCTTAGGGCAGGATGCCCAGGCCAGGGGTCACTCCTGTGCTAGAGGTAAGAAAGGAGCAGCCTCCCTCTGGGCTGGCAACCAAACTGATTGCAGGGTTTGGTGACAGGAGCTTTGTCTTCAGCAGCCCAGCAAGAAACCCAAGGGTCCTGGCTGCCAATCTGACACCAGCCCGCCTGGCACTCCAGTCTTTGCCTGCCAGGGCAACTGGCAGCCTCGCTTCAAAGACCCTCTGGGCCCTACAGAACTAAGGTGCTCGATCATCATGTCCATCAGAGCAGGGAGAGGAGCTCTGAAGCCCAAAGGTCTTGGAAGATCTGGGTGACAGGCTTCAAAATTTGCCTGTGGGCAGCAGCAACAGTGATTGGGGTAGAGACCCACCTGTGGCATCTCTCTCTGGGGCTGACCTGTACCCTCTGCACAGGTCCTCTCGGAGTCAGGTGCCGGTCATATGTGCACCCCACTCCAGCACAGACAACAGAGGTACCAGATGACCAGACTTGTCTTTGCCCCAGGGAGGGGGGCACTGAGCCACAATGCCCACAGCCAGTCTGTGGGAGTGAGGAATACACGGTTCAGGAGCTCACAGCTTCTGGGTCTGGGCCCAAGAGCCAGTCTTTAATACACAATTCACGATGAGTCCATTGGAGCTCCTTTAGGTGCAACCAAACTGATTGCAGGGGAATGAGGAGTGGCTCGGGGAAGACACCTTGCCCAGCCTGACCCTGGGGTAGAGAATAGCCCTAGCGAGCACCCCACTTAGGGAAGGCAGTGGGGCAGGAAGCAGAGCTGGAGCCGTGAACCCTGGGCCCCACCCCGGCCCCAACCTGGTATTACCTAGGAGGGGTCTGAGTTGGGCCCGTGGACAATGGAGAAGAGGAGGGTCTGTGCTCAGGGGACAGCATGGTGGAATGGCTGGACCGTGGTCAAGATGCCATGGTGGACTGACCTGGTCGGCGGGCATGTTAAGGGGTCCTGTAGCGGGCATGGCTTAGCCCACTGGCTATCGAGACCCTGTGAAGGGTGTGGCCTGCTTTGGGGACTTGGTCAAACCCATGAGGGGTGTGGCCAGGTCTCATGCCCCGGATCAGGGCGCAGGGTGTGCAGCCAGGTGGCGCTCCAGCAGTGCGCGATGCGAGAAGACCTTTCCGCAGGCGGGGCAGGGCACGCGCTCTGGCCGGTGCGTGCGCATGTGCACATTGAGTGAGCTCTTCTGCGTGAAGCGCTTGGCACAGACAGCACACTGGAAGGCACGCACGCCCGTATGCGTGACCATGTGCTTGAGCAGGTAGTCACGCAGTGAGAAAGATCGCCAGCACACGGCACACTGGTGGGGCTTCTCCCCTGCGGGCAACAGGATGGGCCCCTCACGTAAGTCAGCCTGAAACAGACACCCCACCCCACCCCCGCACCCCTGCCAGCAGGGCCTCCCCTCCCCTCCCCTCCAGGACCAGCCATCAACCCAGAATCCCCCTGCCTGACAGGGACATTCTGGGACCACCCTCCACTCCCAGACCATACTGTCCAACAAGGACCCCCACACATGGCCTGGTGTATCCCCTTCTCTCTGTCCCGCTGGGGCTCCCCTCCCCCAGACCCTTATCATCACACCAGAATCCCACTGACTGTCAGGGTCTCGCAACTCCAACAGGTACCCTCCCAGTCCATCACAGCCTATTGGGACTAGTCATTCAATGTCCCTACCCCCACTCCTGACAAGGAGGTCTCCCCTCCCTGTATTCATGCCATGCCCATAGAGGATTCTGGACTCTGATCTCTGGCCACCGCTAAGGACAGTCTGGTAAGTCCCAGCACCCTTACACTGGAAGAGATCTGGACATACCTATCTAGCCCCTTTCTCCTGGAACCCCTGCCTGCTAGCCACTCTAATGTCCCCAGGGAGATAGAGTAGACTGCCCCTCACCATGGATCTGAGGAGACAGGCTGTGCTGGTCCCCAGAGTCCTCAGGTCTAAACAGAAGCCTTTCTCAGAGGCAGGTGGCTGTGGGGCAGTGCCCAGGAGGGGTTCTTGCAAACCAACCAGGCCTGGCACCCACCTGGCTAAGGCCACACAAAGCTGGCAAATCTTGACTGGTACTGCTTTGGGGCCCCTGTTCTCTCCCCTCCCCAAGGCAGCCAGCTGGAGATTTCAGGCAGAGATTTCAAAGTGGAAATCACATCGCAGGACACTGACGCCCTCCCCAACTTCCCGGCCCAGCAGAACCCCCCCATGCTGCTCCCACTAGTTTTCCAGACAAATCTTTGCTTTTCTTAGAATCCCCGTGGGCCTTTGGCATTCCATCCTCCTGTGCTCCCCAGGAGCACCCGCAACAATCCTGTGACACACTCAGGACCTGCCAGCCACCGCCTCGGCCCCTGGCTACAACCCCCAGCACGACACTCTACTTCTCCCCCATCAGCTCCAAGCCCACCCCCCTGACATGCCGAGGGCCAAGAATTCCCTGCAGCCTTGGGGAGCTCCATGTCTCTCCTCCAGCCCCAATCAGACCACCTCTCTTCTTGTTTCCCACGCCTCCCCAAGGACAGTGAACCTACACTGCCTTGCATCCAGTCCCAGTCACTGGATCCAGTGACATCCAAGTAGACCCATGAAGGTCCCCGTAGCACGGCTCCCCAACCTGGCCACGCTGCCACCACCACCAGCTCCACCTCTGTGATTAAAGGCCACACTGCCAGTTTCCAAAGGGTAGGTTCCTGCCTACAAACCAGTCTTAGGACACATCCCACACTCCACATGTGTAACACTTGGGGACTCAATTTCCAGGTTCCTCTAGAGTCACCGAACAGCAACAGAACCACGTCACCACCCCTACCCAGTGCCCAGTCCCCCCTCAGGTTTGAATCTCCAATGACTCAGAGGCTAAGACACACCCTGGCTCACCGGAATGGATGAACATGTGCTTGGTGTAGTTTTTCCGTGAGCTGAACGTCTTGCGGCAGTGACTGCATTCATAAGTGGGTGGCTGGGAGCCTGCGGTTTGCGTAGAGGGGACCAAAGGGGCAGAGGCGCGAGCAGAGGACGGGGCCGGAGGCTCTCCCAGAGTGGTACTGGGAGCGGTCTCTGGCTGGAGCGCAGGGTAGAAGGTGGTGGGGGGTGCAGGGGCTGGCCCGGAGGGTTGGAGAGGGTGCTGCACCGGTGGTCCTGGAGAACCCAGATGAAAGGGGAAAAGGGCTACGGGCGGCCCTGGGGTTTTCACGGCAGGCGGGCGAGGTCCCGACACAACACAGTCAGGTGGGGCAGGGGCCTCGGTGGGACAGCTTTCCACGGCTGTGCCCTCTTCCCCTTGCCACGAAGAAACGTAACTGCTGGGGAACACGTCCTCGACCGCCGAAGGCCCCCGAAAGAAGTCCCTCCCGGTGCTGTACTCAGAGAGGCCGGCGGGTGCAGTTGGTTCCTCACGCGCGTTGTCAGCGGCTGAGGTAAGGAAGCCTGCAGGGCATTCGGGGAAGGAAGGGGGCGCCTGGCCCTCGCCCGGGCCACCCCCCTCGCCATCCTCGCCATCAGTGTCGTCATCGGTCTCCTCGTCCTCATCCTCACCACCCTCGTCTGGGCCGGCAGACAGGGTGGGGTCAGTGGCCGACCCCTCTGCTTTGGCAGGTGCAGAGGGCCCAGGTAGCTGCAGGCGTGCGGGCTGACGCTGCTTGCGGCTGTGCGCCGCACCTGGATGGCCCAGGGGGCGAGCGGCCAGCAAGTGGCGCAGGCGGTGACGAAGCTGTGCGGGCGCGAGTGGCGGGGGCACAGGTGTGGGCAAGGGCGGGGGCGCGGGGGTGCCTGCGGCAGGGGCGCGGGTGCGGGCGATGATCTGCGTGCACTCGTCTATGACGGTCTGAATGCGCAGCACTGAGGCAGCCGTGAGCACCTGAAGTGCTTCGCCTTGCGCCACCACCAGTGAGCCGCTGTAGAGAAACTCCACTAGCTGACGCACTGTCTGCGCGGGCACCACGGGTGGCACGCGGATCTCGGAGTGACCGAGCAGCAACTTGTCCTGGAAGAAGGGTGAGCCGGCGGCCAACACGCACCGGTGTGCGCGCAGCGAAGCCTCGCGGATGCGCACTGTCACGTCGCAGAAGTGCCCGCCCAGTCGCTGCCCATTGAGGGTCTCGAGCAGGGAGCGGGAGAAGTTTTGCAGGTGGATGTGGTGCACTGCCTCCGCCGCCGCAGCCATCTACACCGGAGGAGGGGAGGGAAGGGGGGAGGTCAGCCAGGAAATTCCTTCTGCTTTAGTGCCCCTGTCCTTTCAGCCTTTATCACAGGACAGGGCCCAGGGGCAATTCTCAGCCTTCCCTACAGGACCATTGCAGCGTTCAGCTCAGCACACAGGGCCCAGCTTTACTCCCCTACACACACACACACACACACACACACACACACACACACACTCTCTCTCTCTCTCTCTCTCTCTCTCTCTCTCTCTCTCTCTTTGTCTTCAGGACTTCTGGTCTTGCCATCTCCGCAGTTTCCAGCAGACCACTGAGGAAGGCTGAGAATACCAAAGGCCTACCATTCCGTTTTCGCCAATGTTGGTTACTACTCAGGGGAGGGTCCAGGGCTGGCACCTCTTGTCTTGACCTATTCACCCACCCTTTCCTCAACTCCAGTACCTATCTACCTTCCCCACATCCCCCTCCAGGGGGCAGCCCTGTGGAGAATAGGGCAGAGACCTGCATCCAGAATGGGCTCACTCTCCACCAGGACAGTTGATACTTACTCCTCTCCTGGCTTCTTTTACTCTGCCCCTGCCACACCCCCCAACCTCAGAGCATCCAAGGCCCTGTGCAGACCTGGTTCTGCTGCCTCATCACCGGGCTTAACTATTATACAGGAGGTCTTCACAGGGTAGAGTGGCTCAACCTGCCTATTGGACTATAGGTGACCAAGAGTGTGCAATCACAAAAGGTTCAGCGTATGTTGAGCAAAAGCCTGGCAGGTGCCCCACCGGAGGAAAACACCTGGTTTCCGGCACACTACAACACAGCAGCCTGGTGCTTCTTGGAATATGGATGGTGCCTGTGGGGCACAAAGAAGGGACTTGTGTGGCCTCCACAGGGGTGTGTGGGTTAGAGTAGGTGGAGCATGGCTGGGCAATTTGGATGTTTCTTGTCCAACTGTGGCCTCATAAGCCCAGCGTTGCTCACCCTCAGGCTCCAGAAAGAGGGATTATCACCCCTCCAAGGGGCTCTGAGAATCTGAGCAACTCTGCTACTTCACCCATCAAGCAGGCACCATGCTCACTCAACCTCAGTTTTCCCTCTATCAAACAGAAATAAAATAAAGTCTGTGACCCACACCCAGGCCACACACTTCCAGTCTAGGGGAGGAGTTGGGACACAGGATGCACCCTGAAATCAGTCTAGACCATGCAGGGCCACATGGCCCCAGAGTGAGGCCTTCCTTAATCCTTTAGCATCTACTGGGGTGTTAGCTCACTTTGTCCTGCTCTTTAAGCCCAAATCGCCTTGCTGGGATCAGACCCCTCAGACCACTTCACACACCTCCACTGGGCCAATACCTCTGGCTTGGACTGACTCAATGATCTGTTCGTTTCCCCCTCCCAGTCTATTCCCCACGCAACAGCCAGAGGGAGCCTGTTCACTCCCAACCGATCGGGACCCTCCTCTGCTCAGAGCCCCCCTATCCGCAACCCCTGCGAAGAGTTCTTGACAATTCCGCAAAGGAGTCAAGTCTGCAAACGTAGTTGCCTCTTCCACAAGCATCCTTCTCCTTTCCATTCACCCAGCATCTAAAGGACTTCAAGTGCGCGCCCGGGAATGGGACAGAAACCGGTGCATCAACACCCAGGGCTGGATCCCTTCCTTTTTCGAACCACCCATCCCTGGTCCCTGACAGGCCCCGAGTCCTCGGTCCGGAGGCAGCAGGGCCTTTCAGGAGCCTAGGAACAAAGGCCACCTGAGGACACGGCCCCTAAGCCATCCCTCCGGGGCCCGCGCCGCGTTCCCGACGCCACACCTTTGACAACGCCTCACTCTGAACCCCGAGCGCCCTCTCCCGCGCTCTGCGCCACTGCACGCACCCTACCCTGAGCCCCACGCCCCTCTCTGGTCTGCACCGGGTGCACCCGCTGCAGCCCGCAAACCCGCGTCTCTCAGGTCCGCGCCCCGCCCACACCCTGCAGCGCCCCCTCACGTCGGCAACGTGCTCTCCAAACCTAGTGCGGGCGCCCCTCTCTTGACACTCCCCGGCCTCCCCGCCGGCCCTGCGGCTGGGGGATGCCCGCCCAACCCCACCTCCGGCTCCTCCTCAGGTACCGACCGGGCCCGGCCGTAGCCGCCACCGGCTTACCACCGCCAAGGCCGCACTTCCGGGCCGCGACTCCAGCGGAACCGAAGTTCGCAGCGGCCGCGGCGCCGGGAAGTCCTGGGCGGGAGCACGTTTCCGGTGTTTCTATAGAGATTAACCGCCGCCGCCTCCAGGCAGCAGTTCCCGGGAAACCAGGCTGAGATCCAGCGGCTGCTGGGCAGCGGGGAACCTCTGGGCCTTGCCACGATTCCGGAGTCGCCCTAGAGACAGGGCAGAGGTGGGGCCTGTGCTGTCAATTCGCAGGCCACGCCCCCGTGCACGTGCTGCGGAGCTGGAGCTCTTGTGCCGCCTGAAGTCTGCGAAGGCAGTTTGTGGCCGGAGCTCGCGCTCGGCCTACACCACATGTGACCCTGGGAGGGAAAGGCCTTGTACTCATAACAGGGGTGCAAGCAAGAGTAAGGCTAGCCAGTGGGGTGGGGGAGCAGACCCCACCCAGCCTTGGAGCCCAACTTTGCCTTGTGCCTGAGCATGGTTTCGAGGCTGAAGGAGAAGACAGCCTGATTGGATGCTCTACCCACTCCCTGGTCCTCCTACCCCAGGGTTAGCCATGATAAATAAAGGAAGGCTTCTGGAACTGAATGATGCAGCTCAGAGCACAGAAAAGGAAGGGTGGAGGACGAGATGGGTGGTATCTCTGTGGGAGGGTGGTGAGCAGCCAGACCCCAAAAATCAGAAGTCACAGGGACAGAGTCTGGGAAGAGCTGTCCGACCCTAGGGAACAGGATAGGTCTGCAAGGACCTTGACGTGGGACTGGCTGTCCAGCATATGCGTGATAGATGGTGAGCTGGCCTGGCCTTACTCTGTACTCATGGGGGCTGGAGGGAGGCAGGAGGGCCTGGACCTCAGTGGAGCCCATACCTTATGCAGCAGGCATGGAGTCCATCTTGTTGGAGGGGTGACTTCTCAGCCTTCAGTGTGGAAACAAGGTAGGAGTGCCTTCTTACCACAGCTGTACTGTAATTGTTTTGAAGGCCATGGACAGGAGGGGAATATGCTAGGTGGGACATCACCTTCCCCACTGGCAGCCCCTCCTGTGGCCCATGACCTGAGGAAGCTCATGAAAACCCAAGTCTAATGGCTTCGTTGTCTTTGTTCAGAATGTGGATCCCTCACAATGGCCTGCCTGGTCCACTGGGTCTACCACATACCACCGCAGCGACCCCTCTCGATCTCTCCTCTCCATTTCCTATCACTGATCCCTTCTTCTCTGGCCTCACAGGCTCCTTGCTGTGCCCACCTCAAAGCCAGCCTGTGCAGTTCCCTTTATCTGTAGCACCTCACACAGCTTAGCTGCTAGCAGCCTCCCCCAGGGAACCTCCCTGACCTCAAGTTTCCCTCCATCTGTCACACGGAGGTCATGTCTGTCTTTCGCCTTGACATACAGCTGCTGCCCCTACAACTTAAACAAAAGTGGAGGTGGCAACAGCTGCTTCACTGTGCCCTAGACCTAATTCCATTGGATTCTGGGGCATTGTAAGTGATCTAATGTAGGGGGGGAAAATTCTAAAAAATGCCCTGCCCAAATCCCCAAAATATGGCAGGTATAATCAAGGTTACTAATCAGGTGACCTCACAATATGGAGATGACCATGGATTGTTTGGGCAGGCCCAAGGTAATCAGCAAGGTCCTTAAAGGCTGAAGAGGAAAGCAGAAACTTGAATTAGGAGAAGGACTTGGGGGCCATTGAAGGTGGAAGGGGCCACGTGACAAGGGATACGGGAGTGATGGTAGGGTCTAGAACCTGAGAAGACCCATGGATGATAGCCAGCAAGAAAACAGGGATCCTCAGTCTTACAGCGACTTGGAACTGGTTCTGCCGGCAACCTGAATGAGCTGGGAAGCTGATTTTCCCCCAGAGGTTCCAGAGGAGAACCCAGTCCCGCCCACAACTTGACTGAATCCTTTGTGACACCCAGAGGGATGTTGCAGCCTGGATGTCTAACCTACAGCTATAAAGTGGGTGTTTTAAGCTACTGTGTTGTGGTTAGTTGTTAGCAAGCAACAAAATCGAGTACAGCTGCCAGAGACTCAGGGTCTCCACATAGTGTCTGATAAGTGCCACTATTTCCATGGGATGAATACCTCTCCCATTGCCTCTCTCATGCCATATGCTTCAGCTCTGCCTTACCACTTTACTGGTCTCATTTGCCCATCCTTCAAGGTCCTACAAGCAGGGGGATCTTAGGGGTCAGAGGGAAACCAACTCTCCAGACATAAGGCTGGGAGAGCATCAGTGCAGGTGGAAAGGCTTGTGTGAGGACTCTGAGGAGGGAGGGTGTGGGACAGGGGGAGAAACTCAAGCCCTGACCCCTCTCAGGCCTTGATAAAACATGTTTCGTTTTTCTCTCCAAAGGCCTCTGTCATAGTGGTTATGGAGGCCTTTTGGGGAATAGTGCAGCTGAAGGCACAGGTTTAATAAACCAGGGAGGGGCCGATGTGGCCTGGAAGTATTTGAAAATTCTAGGTTTAGAGTCTTCAGGGTAGTGGGGGATGTGAAGGGGCAGGAAACAAGGCTGACCATCAAGGGAAGATCCTGGGAGGCCCCAAGGATACAGGCACAGAAAAGAACATTAGAAATTGAGCTCCTGAGTGGCTGGGCTTCATCTGCTGGTGAGGCAGGACACCCACCCCCAGGGCGTAACGGGTAAGGAATCAGAAAATTCAATCCCCAGTTCCAGCTCAACCTGGCTTCTCAACCCCCCTCCACCATCTGTGGCTATGAGGCTGGCTTTCCAGTTAGGATCCCTTCTGTGGCAGCCACTGTTCGGGGAAGAAGCCTAGCACCCAGGCCACCGTGTCTCCAAGCCCTATGGTAATGGATCTGGGCTGTGCCAGGTGTGGGATGCAGGTTCTAAGACCCATACACACATCTCAGTGCACCAAGAGCTTCCTTTGGCTTGGGGGGTGGTGGTGTTAGACACTAAGCATGTCCCCAGGAAAATGTGTTCTGGTACCTTGATGGAGGTACCAGAGTTGAAACTGAGGGTGGTACCTGACCAGGCAGGTACCAGCAGTGGGGAGGGGCGGGGGTGGGGTGGGGTGTAGCCTCCTTGACTGTATTGAGAGGAAATGAGACCTTCGGGTGGGGGAGGGGCAGTGACAGGATCCTGTTGAGACACCTGAAAGGGAAATGGACCAGGCTGCAGAGGATGGGGCCATGAAAAGATTTAGCAAAAAAAGAAACAGCCAGAGAGGCATCAGTGACTGCCAATGAGGGTGTGGTGTGTGGGTGGGGTGAGGAATATTTACAACACAAAAGGTTTAATTTGCTTTCATTTGTAAAATACAAAGAAGAGACTATTAGCCTCCTAGAGCAGCCTGAAAAAACCGGGTAGGAAGGAGGAGACCTAAACTAAAATAATTTTAATTACAACTACCTCTGTAATTCTTTAAGGCCCCCACACCCAGGCTACTCATTGATTTTGAAAAGGTGAAAAACCCAAGAAACAAGAACGAAGTGGCATACATGAGCACGCTCATCCTCAAATAAGCAATTTAAAATTTTTTCTTATTTATTGATAATTTGTAGAGAAACTCTTGTTCCAAGTATTTATGCATTCTTTGGTTGATTCTTACACGCGCCCCTACCTGGGATCCAACCCACAACCTTGGCATATCTGGATTAACACTCTAACTGAGCTACCTGGCCAGGGCAAAATTTTTCTTTGCTAAATTTGTCTTTTATTTGTTTATTTATTTTGGTCAGGTATTTACTAAAACAAAGTGTAAGCAAAAAAAAAAAATTGTGCGTAAAGCTTTGTAGGGCTACAGGGAAAGCATGTCAGGGTGGCACACGTGGGCTGGTCTGTTCTTTAAGGCTTCTAGTTCCTTCCTGGGATTAACGAATCCTCTAAAACCAGATTAGAATGTTCTGTTCTAACCCCTGGTCCTCCTGGGGGTCCTGGGGTTGGGAATTCCAGCGCGCTGGGCCCTGGGTGTGGGAGCGAGTGTAAATTTGAAACTTTCACTTCCTTCCTCAGCCTTTCCCACACCGGAACCTCAGCTTGCTCAGAGCATTCTCCCATTCCAAGTGGACAGACGATCCGATCATGTTCAGTAAACTAACCATGTTGTGACATCCCTCAGTTTTAGAACCTTCCCATCATCCCCTGTGAAACTCTTGGGATTATTCATCTAACCCCTCCCCTCTTTAGGAAACATCGAATCGAAGGTCGCTGTCGATTTGCTCGAGTTGCAAATTTATACCAATGGCATCCCACTCTCTGAGGTGTCCTTCGCCCTGCCTCTGGCTCCTGGCCCCGCGGAGGTTGTGAATTGTGTTGAAGTTGGATTGTTTTCATTCCGGAGCTGTGGCCTAGGCTTCTGATTTGAAAAGCGCTTTCTGGCGGGCTGAGGTGGGTGATTGAGACCGAACACTCCCAGCCCTGCTCGCCACGCTCACCATGATGAGGACTGCCCTCCTCAGCCCTCTTCATGTTGTAGACACAGATGAACTCTTCTCTTTTAACCTCCGGATGCAGCTTTTTTATTATTATTATTATTACAGTTTACATTGGGTGCAGCTTTTAAAAGCAAGAATGGTTTCATCTCTCTCTCTCTCCCCTCCCAGATTACGCTGGATGAAATCTTTTCCAGACTACCTCCTTTCTCCTAAACGCCAAGGGCCCTTCTGCTTCTGTGTCTTGTTTCCTGAACCTACACAATCCATCTGGCTCGCTTCTACGTCTGTACCTTTCTTTTAATTTTATTCTTTTTTTAATTAGGTTTAACCTTGTAAAGTTTACGTATTTATTTATTTATTTATTTATTTATTTATTTATTTATAGAGAGAAAGGAAGGCAGGAGAGAGAGAGAAAAAAAAGAAACATCGGTTTGTTGTTTCTCATTGGTCGATTCTTGTATATGCCCTGACCCAGGGCCAAATGCGAAATCTCGGCATCTCAGGATGATTCCAACTAACTGAGCCACCCAGCCAGGGCCTCTGCAACTTTCCAAATAAACTTTCTCTTATAATGTAAAAATAATAATAATAAAATAAATAAAAGTAAGAATATTTTCCTGATTAGCCCTGGCTACTGTAGCTCAGTGGATTGAGCACAGGCCTGCGAACCAAAGTATCGCGGTTCGACTCCCAGTCAGGGCACATGCCTGGGTTGCAGGCCAGTTCCTAGCACATGGGACGTAGGAGAGGCAACCATACATTGATATTTCTCTCCTTCTCTCCTTCCCTTCCCCTCTAAATATAAACAAATAAAATCTTTAAA